TACATTCACCCAATGAATAATGTATAATACATTTGGACTACCAGAGACATTTGGAAAGATATAGAAATATTAAGCAAAGTATGGTTATTTCTAGTGATGTTACAGTATGTTATGTTTAAGAAGTTATAGAATATCATTCAAAACTGTAAGGATGAAATTTGTATTTCTGTCTACAATTTTTTCCCCCCAAAAAATATTAATGGTCCCTCAACTTGCAGTGTTGAGTGTATAAAGCCAATTAGGGTGATATACAAAAAAGTAAATCATATGAAAAAGCATTCTTCCTAACAATATATACCATGATTTACACATGTGATTCAAAAACAGCTGGTTTTACCAGTACCGGCATGATTTGGAAAGTATGAAATGAATATTATTTTCACTGCAGCTAAGTATAAGCAGCTTTTCTATTAAGAGTTGTAAAACAAAATCATACATTCACCCAGTGAATAATGTATAATACATTTGGACTACCAGAGACATTTGGAAAGATATAGAAATATTAAGCAAAGTATGGTTATTTCTAGTGATGTTACAGTATGTTATGTTTAAGAAGTTATAGAATATCATTCAAAACTTTAGGGTCTGTGAGATTTTTGTTTTCATTTTTTTTTTATTTCTTATTTTTTGCATTATAGAAATGAATGCTTTTATTCAGCAACTGTAAAGACATTTTATAATGTTACAAACGATTTATGTTTCAAATAAATGCTGTTCTTTTGAAATATCTATTTCTCAAATAATCCTGAAAAAATGTATCATTGTTTCCAAAAAATATAATTGTTTTCAACTTTGATAATAATACAAATGTTTCTTAAGCAGCACATCGGCATATTAGATTTCCACAAAAAAAAAAAAGACTGGAGTAATGGATGCTGAAAACAATCACAAGAATAAGTTACATTTTCAAGTATATTAAAATAGAAAACAATTATTTTGAATTGTAATAATATTTCACAATATTACTGTTTTTTTCTTTTATTTCAAAAGCATAAAAAAAAAAAAATAATCATTTGAACGGTAGAGTACCTTGTATTGAACTGGACTTTATTATTTTCTGTTTTTCTTTCTTTCTTTTTTTCGTTCTTTGCTTGGTTGGCTCAATAAATAATTACACTTGAGAAAAGACTTTGAAAAAATATAAAAACAAATCTCGGAGAGATCAGTTGGCTCATTTGGATGAAATTCATTTGGTTGGGGATGTTGGGACACTCTTGGACCAAAGAGAAGATGTTAATTATACAATCATGTTTGCTAGATGCTTCATTTTTCACCTATTAAGCCTGTTTTTCATTGCATTGCTTTATTTATGCATAAATATGAGTGTGAGAGCGCCTGTGTGTTTACCCGCAGAGCAATCTTGGTTTAATTTGACACACACTGAGTATATTAACATGGCAGATTTTTTTTTTTCTTTCATTGACATTTTTAATGTGCATCAGTTTGGCTGAGCTCTGTATTTATAGCTTCAAAAGAGAGTGATTACAACACCCGGAGGATGACAAAGTTGCTTCTATCTATGACTCTTTATCACCATGGTTACACCCTGCCATACCAGACCCCTGCGGCTCTATAGCACATCTGTGTTTTCTTCATATAAATTAGTAATCAGCCCTTGTGTTGGTTAGAGACGCAGGGTCTGATTAGTGCTAGAGAATCAATTTGGCTTTCAACAGTTTTTGCTTTCTCATAAGGAGAACTAGGCCTACATAGATATATTACAGAATATAAATTAATGTCCTTTTACAAGATACATGTACAACACTAATATTGTAGTTTTTCTTTTATATCTCTCTCACACGCGTATATATTTATATATCATACGAGTACATATACAAATACATTCATATTAAATTATGATTTATGTGGCGGCAGAGCACCAAAACGTTTGGTTTGCTTTTTGTTTATGGATTGTTTCAAAGTATGTTTGACCTCAAGTACATTATCTTAAAAGCTCTTTCCAGCATAATGTTGTTTGGAATGAAATGATCTTAACATGCACCTTAAGAATACCACTCTCCTCGAATCACAGTTCTCATAGGATGCATTACAACAGGCCATTACAGTTCATTGCAACAACAAAGAGAGTTCATCAAATGTTCTTTTGCTCACATATAGCACTCTCTAGGTATGGCTTTAGCTGAATTCAGAACTGCATTCTAACATACTACTCTTACTATTTCTGCCATTTGGTAAAAGTAGTATGCTAGTATGCTGTTCCAAATTCAGCCTTAATTCAGCCATTTAAAGGTGCAATAGGTGATTGTCTTCAGAAACATTTTTTGTTATGCTGGTTGAAAGTTTCTTCACATCCCGATAGCAATCATTAAGTTAAGTGGTCTAAATGTATTTATCTGTATTTATATATTCTGTGAAAGGCGTAGGACCAAGAAATGTTCGTTCAATCAAAACCTCTGTGCACCCGGTTCGCGCACACAGGATACGTCATCAGCGCGTTCACGCACGCTGTGCAGACAGAGCGAGGATGGCAGGCAAACATCAACAACCCGATCTTCCTTCCTGGTATTGTAGTACTTTTACTAACTGTACTATGACACATGATGTAGCCCAGCGGTTCCCAATTCCAGTCCTCGCAAATGTATTTTGCATGTCTCGCTTAGTTAACACACCCGATTCAGATAACCAGCTCGTTAGAAGAGAGCTACGTGCATGAACTGTGTTCCGATCGATATGATCCCTACACAGTGTTCATTGCTCCCTACTCCCTGAGCAGGGAAATCCGTTGAAGTTTACTTCACTTAAGAACATGCATTCACGGATTTGCGCTGCGCAGCGTCTTCACACACATCACACTCACACACACATATGTCTTAACATCCAGTGCGAGGACTGGAATTGGGAACTGCTGATGTAGCCTATTGTAGTAATGTTGTCTCTGGTATTCTGGTCTGTGAGCGTAGTTCAGGGGGCGTGGCTTTGGACGACGATTGCAGGGAGGGTGGGACGTTCGCTTTCAGTGCTATCAGGCTAAAGTTAGCATTTTCCAAGATCTCCTACTGCACCTTTAAATCCTGAGGCTAGCAAAGCTAGCATCTCTGGAAGGTCAGTGTGTTACATGTTAAAATTGCTGATGAAAATTTGGTAACAAATTTTTGGCCATTATTTAACACGACTCGTTTAAAAAAAAGTGTTTGCCAACTAAGTGACCTAAAAATTATCACAGCTCTGTTCTGATACAGTTATGGAGAGCAGGAAAGAAACAATCCTGAGTGCTAATATAATAGTTAGTCTAGCAACCTAAGTAAAAGAGAGGCAAGATCATTTATAATAAATCTTTTGTTGTTGATGTCAAATGCCATGCAACACTACTGTGTTCCGATCGATATGATCCCTACACAGTGTTCATTGCTCCCTACTCCCTGAGCGGGGTAAATCCGTTGAAGTTTACTTCACTTTGGAACATGGGCTGGAATTGGGAACCGCTGATGTAGCCTATTGTAGTAATGTTGTCTCTGGTATTCTGGTCTGTGAGCGTAGTTCAGGGGGCGTGGCTTTGGACGACGATTGCAGGGAGGGTGGGACGTTCGCTTTCAGTGCTATCAGGCTAAAGTTAGCATTTTCCAAGATCTCCTACTGCACCTTTAAATCCTGAGGCTAGCAAAGCTAGCATCTCTGGAAGGTCAGTGTGTTACATGTTAAAATTGCTGATGAAAATTTGGTAACAAATTTTTGGCCATTATTTAACACGACTCGTTTAAAAAAAAGTGTTTGCCAAGTAAGTGACCTAAAAATGACCACAGCTCTGTTCTGATACAGTTATGGAGAGCAAGGAAAGAAACAACCCTGAGTGCTAATATAATAGTTAGTGTAGCAACCTAAGTAAAAGAGAGGCAAGATCCTTTATAATAAATCTTTTGTTGTTGATGTCAAATGCCATGCAACACTGTGAAACTCAACAGTACTTTGCCAGAAATTCATCAGTCATTTGGTACACTTGTGAAAAAGAAGCACACTCTAGCATACTTTTAAAAATAGTACATATTACGGAAATAATATGCTTTAAAAGAATATACATACATGTAAACTGATGTTCTCTGTGTGAATGTTCTCTGACACCTAATTGCATGTGATTTATGATTAAACAAAAAGTTATTAAAGTTTAAATTTAGATGAAATTCAATTAATTGACCCACTTAGGTAGGACTTTATATGTACTGTAATTTCATAATTACTTCTATTGTCTTTTAAATATGGTTAAAGTGCACTGTCAAATGCACTGACAAGCATTTATGGTAAATTATACTTTAATGTCATTTCTACAGAAATTTGTATGTCATATATTTACATATATTTGTAATTACACATTTGTAATGATGAAGTTTATAATATATTAATTTTAAATGTAACAAAACATAGTCATGAAAGTGTACTCTCTTTAAGTACACTTAAGTGGCCTTTTATTTCATTAATATTATATTTTCTCGAAGTACATTTGTTTTTTAAGAAAATACTTTTAAGGTTTGAGGTACACAACAAGTGAACATTCGATGCACATCTTTTTCACAAGGCTATGGCCAATACGAATATAATATTTAGTCCAGTGTTTGACCTATTTGTTTGCATGGTAAATCACACTTCTGCTGCTGTTTATGCATATACAATACAGTTAATATTCCTATTAAACTATTATCATGTTAGTTAATTGCATATACTGTTGGGCCTGCGTGGTTCATGTTAATCAATTGCAACATTTGATTCTATGGACATTTTTGATACTTTTGCTAAACAATTTTGGTATCATGTTGGGTTACCATTCAATGTCCAATATACGTACAGTCTTGGCTTGAGGACAAAACCATCTGAGAACCAGCATAAATTGAAGTCAGAGTTCCTGAACCCCTAAACATGTATGCTTCTTTCTAAGCCTTGTGAGGGCATGTTTAGCTTCTTATTCATTGTTTTGTTGTTCAGGCTACAGCTGAGCCTTTGGGTTTAGCTGAGGACACATTGTCAGGTTATGTTTGTTCTGTCTTTTGCAGGTGTGGTTACAGAGGTATGGCTACCTCCACCAGACACAACCTTACATGGCCGTCCTGCGATCAGCCCAAACCATGCATTCTGCTATTGCTGCCATGCAGCACAAGTATGGACTAAACATCACAGGGACTCTAGACAAGGAGACTATAGAGTAAGTACTCCTAAGAACACATACATACAGTAAAGTCACACATAAAATGCAAAAATATACTGCATAGACTGACTACAGCATACCAGGCCCATTCTCATAAAACTGTGCTGTTTGTGTATGAAAATGGCCTTGCAAAATGCCCATTGCTATTTATTGTTACTAAACCTAACCTTAAAGTGCTAATATTTGAACTCTGTTACAATAATTCTGGAATATATGCTTCTTATGATTTGAATATACAACTGAGTAAATTCTGTTAGTTTAGTACTAAAATAATAAATCATACTTTATAATGTAGAAAAAACTACCCATTTCTCTTACAACACATGTTTTGTGCAGTAGCTATTTGACCCTGTTACATTCCAAATGTTGCAGGGTTAAGTGTTACTGAGATGAAGGTAAATGCAAAAATGGCTAGAAACGGTCTTATCTAGGGAATATCATCACACCACATGAATGAACATAAATATATACACTATGACATGTATGTACATAATGACATTTTGTAAAAAAAAAAAAAATAAATAAAAAATCTTTGACGTCACACCCTCTGATATTATGCCAGAAACCAGGAATTAAACATTGAAACCATGTTATTTTAATTACAGTATAATAAAAATTCTATATAACCCATTAAACTAGAACGGTGATGAACAAGGACATGCAAATTGGCCGGTTTTCCAAAATTTCAATAAAACACTTAACATTAGCTCTGTCAAACAATATGATTAAGTCCAGTATCTATTTTCCATGGTAATTATATCAGTAGTAAGTAATGAGCACAAAAAAATGGGACACAAATGACACAGTTTCCTAGAAATGAGTCATCAATTAAAGAATTCCATGCCTGAATCAAATGAATCACCTTTTTCTTTTTGTTTTTTATGTATCTTCAGAACTGTAATCCAGTGACTTCAAGTATTTCAGAATATACAACAATATAGTAAACACAAGAATACTGATTCATTTTAAAAGTCTAATGAGTATTCTGATGAATGAACGCAGTTATTTTTAAATCCATTCAAACACTTTTATAGTTATGCCTTAAAGCAGCAATGTTAGCTAACCTAGTTTTTAATGTGATGAAGGTCAGAAATGACCTCTCGCCTCCTCCCTTTGCTCTTTTTTTCTCCTCTAGCTGGATGAAGAAACCCAGATGTGGGGTACCAGACCTGCTTGGCGGCATATCTGGATCCCGCAGGAAGAAGCGCTATGCACTAACTGGACAGAAGTGGCAACGCACACACATCACATACAGGTTAGACAGAGACAGGATGCCTCTGTCAGTGTTAATGATTTAGCAATTTGGTCTATAAATATAGCACAGACATTAAAAGACAAGAACTGTGAAATGAAATGCTCGAAATTTATTACAGAGCTTTAAATAAGTTGTCTTAAATGTACAGTTGTCTTAAAGGCATAGAATACATCACACCACATGAATGAACATAAATATATACACTATGACATGTATGTACATAATGACATTTTGTAAAAAAAATAAATAAATAAATAAAAAATCTTTGACGTCACACCCTCTGATATTATGCCAGAAACCAGGAATTAAACATTGAAATCATGTTATTTTAATTACAGTATAATAAAAATTCTATATAACCCATTAAACTAGAACAGTGATGAACAAGGACATGCAAATTGGCCGGTTTTCCACAATTTCAGTAAAACACTAAACATTAGCTCTGTCAAACAATATGATTAAGTCCAGTATCTATTTTCCATGGTAATTATATCAGCAGTAAGTAATGAGCACAAACTGTATGCTAATTGTCAATCATATTTGACGATAGTGGTCCTGACAGAACTATGTGATTCTTTTTCATAATGATATTATAGAAAATAAATGTAATGATCTGTAATGAAATTTTATGTTAAAATTATTATTCAGTATGCATGGACAGTGTTACATGAACATGTATGTTTTAACATATATCATTTTCAGAATAGTTTACTCAAGAATCCCTTAACTCTTTCCCCGCCAGCATTTCCAAAAAAAAAAAAAAAAGGTTGCCAGCCACCGCCAATATTTTTGATAATTTTCACAAAATTTTTGTGGCCCTCAGAATATTTAATTGTATGAATATCTGAACATGCAATATATCAAAAGAAAGAACAGAGCCTCTGCTTAAAAAAAAGCTATTCTAGCTTCATGCTTTCTTTTTTTGATAAACACTTGAATGTGGGTAAGTTTCATAAAAAAGCAACAATTTGAACAAAAAGCAGAGAATATCACGTTTTTGGATCAGATTGAGAACGATGATCAAAACATAGATGGAGTAGATCGCGTCCATAAACACCCCTAAGATGCACAGTGTCATACCACTTCCTGGGTCGACATTTCATTCGGTAGTGTGCAGTTTTGATTTATATGCTATTTAATGTTTGATGATCACTTTATTTTACATATGCATCTGCTTATAATTGCAATCGCTTGCAATGAAGACTGATATGTTACAGCATGACAACATAAACATAAATCTAAAACTGCAGCATTGCAGTTGAAAGTGGAGTAGATTGTATGTTTTTACATTTTGGATTTATTATTATTTGTTATGTGTTGAATTTAAGTTTTTAAAAAGACGCTGCAGAGTATGACATCATATCACAACCATTGCAGCATCCAAAGAAATGTTGCATGCTCAAAGTCTGGTGTGACTGCAGCTTATGCGGCTTGGTTGCTTTTATTTGACTCTATGTCCTTGACCATTCTTTACTTTGGTTGATGTCACTTCCTGTTTACATTTCGCCTGACATCTGGTGTAAATACTGTCCTCTATCTGATGTGTAATTCTTAAGATGAGGAACAGTTTACAGAATCTTGATAAACCGACACCTGATAGGTTGAAACAGACAGACGTCGCTCAAATCATCCTGTCACTGCCATCCTATATGCTGCTCTGCAATGAAGACACAGCCAAGCATATAATAACCTCCAGCATTCACTCTTTAACCTTCAAGAAACATATTTGAATTCCCTGAAGATTACCTTCTAAAGGGCTCGGTGGAAATAGAGTGTTCTCTCACCTCAATTTAGACTTTCCCGGTTACAGCGGGCGATAACGGAAATGATTTATTCAAATCCAGCTTTTTTTAATTGATGGGCCACCTATGCAAATGGAATGTAAATGAAGACAGGCTTGGCAGTGAGTGACTGGCCTCTATAGAGAAAAGTCAGCTGAGATTTTCAGGGCCTCTGAGTCTGTTAGAGGAAGATAAAGACTTCAATGTGGGAAATTCAGCAGAGATGCCAGTCTGAGGGCAGTTGGTGCAGTTCACTTTAGAATTCAAAATGCTTCTCTTCTCTGTGATATTAACACATCATAATAGTGAGGGTTTTTACTATGACATTTGATAGTGGTAGATTTCGATAATAGTGAAGGTTTTGATGCTAATATCTTATGAAATCTCACATAGACACAATCTCAGAAAAATGTTTTTTTAAGCAAATACAAATAAGACTATATTTGTATGTACAAGATATATGATTAAACAAGAACGCTGTAAAAAATAGAAGATTATATAAAATAAAAAAATAAGGCAACCAGCTTTAAGGCTTTTTAAAAGTTTACTCAACTTATGAAAGAATTTGTTGTATCCACTTAAATCAATTGTATCAATTTGGACTTGAACATAACACAATAAGCTATTCAAATAAGCTTGCATTTGCATATTGTGCATAACATGTAAAACATGTTATTTTTGCAGACTTTGCATTAAACAACTTACATTTGTCTAATTCATGTATCAGCTATCAGAACAAACATCTAAGGTTGTACAGAGTTTTATGATGCACTGATTTTGTAACAAAATTAAACACAAATAGAGTTATGGGTGAATTTTTGAAGATAGTTTTAAAACAGGGTTTGTGTGACAAAATGGAAGTGGGAATTTTTACAGTGTATAAATTGTACATCACATCTCTTAGATCCCTGACGTTCCAACTACAGAAATAAAAAAGACAGAATGTATTTATTTATATAACAGGGCCCATCTACAGTGGCTTGGTTATTGATCATTTCTCTTATCCAGTTGTGAGAATGAAATTACAGAAATGGTTATTCATCTGCATTCTGTGCAAATCAAATTCAAGCCCTGAAGTACAAAGTTTTAAGGCATTAAGAAGCAATAAAAAACAAAATCAAGCCTAAACCAAACCATAAATTGGACTATGCCATGGCTTAGTGTTAATATTTACTAGTAAATATTTGTTTTTTCTGTTTTTAGCATTAAAAATGTCACTCCGAAAGTGGGAGCACGAGAAACGCATGAGGCCATTCGCCGGGCGTTTGACGTATGGCAAGGTGTCACACCGCTACGTTTTGAGGCCGTGCCCTACAGCGCTCTGGAGAGCGGCAAACGTGACGTCGACATCACCATCATCTTTGCCTCTGGTTTCCACGGTGATAGCTCTCCTTTTGATGGAGAAGGAGGCTTCCTGGCACACGCTTATTTCCCAGGGCCGGGCATAGGGGGCGACACTCACTTTGACTCAGATGAACCCTGGACGCTGGGCAACCCAAACCATGATGGTGAGAGAATGGCAGGTTAGGCCACATTTTCAATTTCAACAATTAACAAAGAAATAGTGACTAGAGTCTATCAGTATACAAAGATGAATTTTGGATAATTACATTTCTGTCATGACAACTCTTAGAGGGATTGGCATGGTAATGTACATGACAATGTTAATGTATTTGGTCTTGGCGAAATAGATCTGCTACGCTGCTGCTGCTGCGGCAGAGCAAGTACCGAGACTTTCTACTGCCAATACATCCACAACATGCTGCTGTTAGCATGTAAGAAATATTGCTGCTGCAAATATAACATACATGAAATAACCCCTCCCCCCCATATAGCATACATGATTACCTCGTAGCAGATCTATATAGGTGAAGCTGGGGAAGGTGGAGGGTTTCTGAAGCAAGCTGTAACTGCTACGGCAAGCACTAGTCATATATTTGACTGTTGAGCAGCGAGCTCATTGGCTACCCATACAGGAGAGAACCAATCAGCTGTGCCATGTGATAATGATGTCATTAGGTCAGATTGAGTTAGACCTATCAGACTGCGCCATCTAGAGTTTCATGCCAGAACTCTGTATATACACTATACCGTTCAAAAGTTTGGGGTCAGGGATTTTTTTTTAAGTATCTTATGCTCACCAAGGCTGCAATTATTTGATAAAAAATACAGTAAAACAGTAATATTGTGAAATAATATTTAAATAAATTAAAAATAACTATTTTCTATTTTAATATATTTGAAAATGTAATTTATTCCTGTAATGGCAAAGCTGAATTTTCAGCAACAGTCTTCAGTGTCACATGATCCTTCAGAAATCATTCTAATTTGCTGATTTGATGTTCAAGAAACACTTTTTATTCTTACCAAGATTAAAAACAGGTAATCATTTTTTTGTGGAAACCATGATACATTTAGTCTTTACTTTGATGTACAGAAAGCTCAAAAGAACAGCAATTATTTGAAAATATTTTGTATTATTACAAACGTCTTTACTGTCAGTTTTGATCAAATGAATGTGTCTTTGGTGAGTAAAAGTATTAATTTCCTCTAAAAAAAAATCTTACATTTACTACATGGCACAAGCTGATTGGCATCTGCTGATTCTGCAGCCAGTAAGGTTGCTTGGTCAACATTGGTTGAACACTGATTCAGTGTTCGCTGTAAGCTGGTCTTGCAGCAGGTTCCTCTGAAATCCTCCACCTCCCCCTGCTCCACCTGTCTGGTTCTGCTATAGGATTTATGTATGCCTATTATATCTAGTCTGCCAAGACCAAATCCATTAACATTTTCATATTAACATTAACATGCTAAGAGTTATTCATAGTTATCATAATTGAAATATCCTTAAAGAGGTCATATGATGTTGCTAAAAAGAACATTATTTTGTGTATTTGGTGTAATGAAATGTGTTTATGCGGTTTAAGGTTAAAAAAACCACATTATTTTCCACATACTGTACATTATTGTTTCTCCTCTATGCCCTGCCTTTCTGAAACGCGTCGATTTTTACAAAGCTCATCGGTCTGAAAAGCGAGGTGTGCTCTGATTGGCCAGCTATCCAGTGCGTTGTGATTGGCCGAATACCTCAAGCGTGTGACGGAAATGTTACCCATATTGTGATGCCGTGTCCCGGCCGGAGCGGCGAGACAAAAACGAGCCATTTGTTGCATCCAGTGGGGACATAATTACGGATTATAAAGGAAACTGTCCTCCATAAAATGCACTGCACACATCTCAATATTTGGGATGAACTGTTCTGGAACAGTGTTGTAAATACAACTTAATCACTGATTTCTAGTCGTGTCCTCTTGGAAGGCCAAACAAAGTAGTTTCGCTTTCACAACGAAACACACAGAGTCGCATACGGTGGGCTTGAGTGAGCGGAGGCCAGAGGCCTAGAGTGAGGAACGGCCGGCGGACTACCAAGAGCTTGTAACACTCCAAAGAGAAAGAAAAAATTGAAATCGCATCATATGACCCCTTTAAATGTTAGCTTTATTAACGTCTGTTCTAACTAGATATCTGTAAAAATGTTTTCTGCAACCTGATATGGATCAAATCCAGTGATCAATGTTTTTTCTTGGTATCTCTGCTCATGTATTTTTGCATTCACTGCCCTTAGTTTGCCCTGTTTTCATTCATTGCACTGCAGACATGTCACCTTTTTATTACTGACGATGGAAAGCATGTAGTAAACTGGATTCTACTGTAAAGATATGTTTTGTGAAAATTTCTGTTGATCATGGCAGTAAATGCTGGTCATATATCCAGACATGTGGTGTAGTCAAGCGCACTGTTGACATTTAAAGAGCCTGTTCTAGATTGCTTTGGTGGAGTGAAGTTGCACACTCCCAATAAAGTCTGTCAGATTTCTGTAATCTTCTGCATCCTCCGCAAACGGCTGCTTAAATCCACCTGTGTGTGGTATATAAGTGCAAATTCAACACTGTATTCTTTAACCAGCTTAAGTAGCCACTAAATGTATGTAATTTGTTAAGACTTTACAATAAAGTTCTATATGTGTTAACAATAGTTTAATAAGACTTTTACAGCCATATTTATGACCAGCGGGGCAGAGTAATGATGCTGTTCAGGTTCTAAACTTCACTGCCCTTAGTTTGCCCTGTTTTCATTCATTGCACTGCAGACATGTCACCTTTTTATTACTGACGATGGAAAGCATGTAGTAAACTGGATTCTACTGTAAAGATATGTTTTGTGAAAATTTCTGTTGATCATGGCAGTAAATGCTGGTCATATATCCAGACATGTGGTGTAGTCAAGCGCACTGTTGACATTTAAAGAGCCCGTTCTAGATTGCTTTGGTGGAGTGAAGTTGCACACTCCCAATAAAGTCTGTCAGATTTCTGTAATCTTCTGCAATCTTCTGCAAATAATCAACGCTATCATTGGTCGCATTTGATTCTTAAGGGTATTCCTTAAGGGTATTCCTCCCTGAATATATCTTTGTGTGCACATGTTGATGTCTGTGCATGTTAGGTGTCAGCTTTGTTTGATATGTAGAATTTGCGTTACAGTTGCACCCATTAAATTAGAGGTAATCAGATCCATCTCTTCACCGCGAGCTGCACTTAGAGGCACTCAGCTTTAATTACCTGGGCCGACTGGATGCAGAGAGCTTTTAAGATGCTCATCTCCTTTCACAAAATGTCTCAGCCGAGACAGCAATGAATGGCTGCGAGTGCGACTACATTCACTACTGTTTTTTTTTACTGCCTCCTGCACTCAGGACCCTTGGCTGTTTGTTTTGCTGCCGTCTCTGATGTTACACATACCTGGCATAATAGCTTCCCATGGTTTCAGGCTTCATTAGAGTCACCACAGTCTATATGGCCACACACTGTGTGGTTTTCTTTCTTTACGTTTAGGCTGATTGGCATCAACATGTTATAAAATAAACAGCAATTTGGAGATTATTTTTAATAGGTAATTTAGAAGTGAATGCCTCCCACAGCATTCACAAACTGTTACCAGATCAGATTGTACAAAGCTCCAAAAATGTCCCAAAGCAGTTTGTTTCCAAATAGTTTGTTATTAAGTGTTTTGAGACCTACAATAGCTTTGTGTGAGGAACAAACCCAAAATTTCGGTTTGTTCAGGTATGTTGTTTGAATTGCATGTGAAAAAGAAGTACACTTTATAGCACAATTTTAAAAAGAGTGCTTATTACAGAAATTATATTCTTTAAAATAATATATTTCAGTGCGAACTGAGTGTAACGTTTTCAGACACATTAATTGTTTGTCATTTGCAATTAAATGAAAATTATAGTATTATATATTATAGTTATAAAACGGTGTATTATAGTTTAAATGTATATTAAATGCAGTTAGTTGCACTACTAATGCAATCCTTATATGTAATTACATAATTACATCTATTATCTTTGAAATATGGTTAAGTGTACTTTCGAATGTAATGACAAGCATTTATGATAAACTAAAAATATACTTTAATGTAACTTCTATTAAACCTTCTATGTCATGTATTTAAATATATTTGGAATTACAGATTTGTAATGATGAATTTGAAATTTAGCACATTTAACATGTATTAACTTTTAATGTTACATCAAATAGCACTAGAGTTGAAATTATAGTACTTTACATGTGTGTTAGTATATTAACGCATCATCATAAGTGTACTTCTTTAATGCATGAAAAAGATTATTAAAACCTAATGATTAAATCTTTTAATTTTACATTACAAAGTGCACTTGTTTAAATTTTGTCTGTATAAGTACACTTCAATAGCCTTTTATTTCATCAATATTATATGCACGTACATTTATATATGTATATATATAGACACATACACATAAAGATTTTGAATTACACATGCACATTTAATACAATACCTTTACTGAGAAGGATACTTTGCATAACATTTTCATTCATCATTAGGTCATGATGGAAGATATTTCCAGTTACAAATTGTTGTATAATATAAAGCAATGTGGGATCTGTTTTGCATTCTGTTTCCAACTGTTTCTGTCATGCCCACACACTGTATTAAGATGGTTCTCAGATCAGGCACTTGAGTGGTGAGTCATAATGCCAGATGCTTCTCATAGATAAGAGTACAAGCACAACAAAAAACTAAGCAAATCTTGTGTTTGTATTTTCACTGTTGTTTTATACTCCTTAGGTAATGACTTGTTCCTTGTGGCGGTCCATGAGCTTGGTCATGCTTTGGGACTTGAGCATTCTAATGACCCTACGGCTATAATGGCTCCATTCTATCAGTATATGGACACTGATAGCTTCAAACTGCCTCATGATGATCTACAGGGCATCCAGAAAATATATGGTGCGTTTAAACCTCTGGTCCCATAATCTACTGGCGTGGCCATATCTGTTTACAGTAACACTGATCAAACTTACGGTTAAGGATTTGAATAAAATGGACAACAATAAGGCTAAGCCATATCATATTGACCAGGTTATTATAGAAACATGGTTGTGAACTTATTTGACTTATTTTGCCATGTGAGCAACTGCATTTCAACCAGAACTACCTCACAACACCACAGCAAACCCCTAGGACACTCTAACAACTGCATAGCAACACATCTCTTCACTGCGAGCTGCACTTAGAGGCACTCAGCTTTAATTACCTGGGCTGACTGGATGCAGAGAGCTTTTAAGATGCTCATCTCCTTTCACAAAATGTCTCAGCCGAGACAGCAATGAATGGCTGCGAGTGCGACTACATTCACTACTGTTTTTTTTTTTACTGCCTCCTGCACTCAGGACCCTTGGCTGTTTGTTTTGCTGCCGTCTCTGATGTTACACATGCCTGGCATAATAGCTTCCCATGGTTTCAGGCTTCATTAGAGTCACCACAGTCTATATGGCCACACACTGTGTGGTTTTCTTTCTTTATGTTAAGGCTGATTGGCATCAACATGTTATAAAATAAACAGCAATTTGGAGATTATTTTTAATAGGTAATTTAGAAGTGAATGCCTCCCACAGCATTCACAAACTGTTACCAGATCAGATTGTACAAAGCTCCAAAAATGTCCCAAAGCAGTTTGTTTCCAAATAGTTTGTTATTAAGTGTTTTGAGACCTACAATAGCTTTGTGTGAGGAACAAACCCAAAATTTCGGTTTGTTCAGGTATGTTGTTTGAATTGCATGTGAAAAAGAAGTACACTTTATAGCACAATTTTAAAAAGAGTGCTTATTACAGAAATTATATTCTTTAAAATAATATATTTCAGTGCGAACTGAGTGTAACGTTTTCAGACACATTAATTGTTTGTCATTTGCAATTAAATGAAAATTATAGTATTATATATTATAGTTATAAAACGGTGTATTATAGTTTAAATGTATATTAAATGCAGTTAGTTGCACTACTAATGCAATCCTTATATGTAATTACATAATTACATCTATTATCTTTGAAATATGGTTAAGTGTACTTTCGAATGTAATGACAAGCATTTATGATAAACTAAAAATATACTTTAATGTAACTTCTATTAAACCTTCTATGTCATGTATTTAAATATATTTGGAATTACAGATTTGTAATGATGAATTTGAAATTTAGCACATTTAACATGTATTAACTTTTAATGTTACATCAAATAGCACTAGAGTTGAAATTATAGTACTTTACATGTGTGTTAGTATATTAACGCATCATCATAAGTGTACTTCTTTAATGCATGAAAAAGATTATTAAAACCTAATGATTAAATCTTTTAATTTTACATTACAAAGTGCACTTGTTTAAATTTTGTCTGTATAAGTACACTTCAATAGCCTTTTATTTCATCAATATTATATGCACGTACATTTATATATGTATATATATAGACACATACACATAAAGATTTTGAATTACACATGCACATTTAATACAATACCTTTACTGAGAAGGATACTTTGCATAACATTTTCATTCATCATTAGGTCATGATGGAAGATATTTCCAGTTACAAATTGTTGTATAATATAAAGCAATGTGGGATCTGTTTTGCATTCTGTTTCCAACTGTTTCTGTCATGCCCACACACTGTATTAAGATGGTTCTCTCTCTTCACTGCGAGCTGCACTTAGAGGCACTCAGCTTTAATTACCTGGGCTGACTGGATGCAGAGAGCTTTTAAGATGCTCATCTCCTTTCACAAAATGTCTCAGCCGAGACAGCAATGAATGGCTGCGAGTGCGACTACATTCACTACTGTTTTTTTTTACTGCCTCCTGCACTCAGGACCCTTGGCTGTTTGTTTTGCTGCCGTCTCTGATGTTACACATACCTGGCATAATAGCTTCCCATGGTTTCAGGCTTCATTAGAGTCACCACAGTCTATATGGCCACACACTGTGTGGTTTTCTTTCTTTATGTTAAGGCTGATTGGCATCAACATGTTATAAAATAAACAGCAATTTGGAGATTATTTTTAATAGGTAATTTAGAAGTGAATGCCTCCCACAGCATTCACAAACTGTTACCAGATCAGATTGTACAAAGCTCCAAAAATGTCCCAAAGCACCATAACAATAGTTTGTTATTAAGTGTTTTGAGACCTACGATAGCTTTGTGTGAGGAACAAACCCAAAATTTCGGTTTGTTCAGGTATGTTGTTTGAATTGCATGTGAAAAAGAAGTACACTTTATAGCACAATTTTAAAAAGAGTGCTTATTACAGAAATTATATTCTTTAAAATAATATATTTCAGTGCGAACTGAGTGTAATGTTTTCAGACACATTAATTGTTTGTCATTTGCAATTAAATGAAAATTATAGTATTATATATTATAGTTATAAAACGGTGTATTATAGTTTAAATGTATATTAAATGCAGTTAGTTGCACTACTAATGCAATCCTTATATGTAATTACATAATTACATCTATTATCTTTGAAATATGGTTAAGTGTACTTTCGAATGTAATGACAAGCATTTATGATAAACTAAAAATATACTTTAATGTAACTTCTATTAAACCTTCTATGTCATGTATTTAAATATATTTGGAATTACAGATTTGTAATGATGAATTTGAAATTTAGCACATTTAACATGTATTAACTTTTAATGTTACATCAAATAGCACTAGAGTTGAAATTATAGTACTTTACATGTGTGTTAGTATATTAACGCATCATCATAAGTGTACTTCTTTAATGCATGAAAAAGATTATTAAAACCTAATGATTAAATCTTTTAATTTTACATTACAAAGTGCACTTGTTTAAATTTTGTCTGTATAAGTACACTTCAATAGCCTTTTATTTCATCAATATTATATGCACGTACATTTATATATGTATATATATAGACACATACACATAAAGATTTTGAATTACACATGCACATTTAATACAATACCTTTACTGAGAAGGATACTTTGCATAACATTTTCATTCATCATTAGGTCATGATGGAAGATATTTCCAGTTACAAATTGTTGTATAATATAAAGCAATGTGGGATCTGTTTTGCATTCTGTTTCCAACTGTTTCTGTCATGCCCACACACTGTATTAAGATGGTTCTCAGATCAGGCACTTGAGTGGTGAGTCATAATGCCAGATGCTTCTCATAGATAAGAGTACAAGCACAACAAAAAACTAAGCAAATCTTGTGTTTGTATTTTCACTGTTGTTTTATACTCCTTAGGTAATGACTTGTTCCTTGTGGCGGTCCATGAGCTTGGTCATGCTTTGGGACTTGAGCATTCTAATGACCCTACGGCTATAATGGCTCCATTCTATCAGTATATGGACACTGATAGCTTCAAACTGCCTCATGATGATCTACAGGGCATCCAGAAAATATATGGTGTGTTTAAACCTCCCATAATCCACTGGCTTCTACATAACTGTTCACAGTATTACTATTAATACAAATCAAACTTAGGGTCAACAATTTGAATAACATGGACAATAATAAAGCTGAGCCATATCATATTGACCAAGTTACCATGTCGGTGGACTTATTTTGACTTATTTGGCCAGTAAGCAACAGCATTTCAACCAGAACTACCTCGCAACACCACAGCAAACCCCCAGAACACTCTAACAACTGCATAGCAACACACTTAAAAACATGCATAAGAATAATAATAATAATTGTTATTATTATTTTAATTTTCTTGTTTTAATTTGTAACTAAACTTTTAACGGTTTCATGTGTAAGTGAAACAAATGTATTCTTGTAATAATTTACAAAAACATTAAATAAGGGGTAATGATGCTCTATTTTTATTCAAAGACGCAATAAAAATGCAATTTATTCTTTTTTTTTTTTTAAATAAATTCTTGAAAAGAAAACCATTTGTAGTTTGGCATAATCTCTTATTATTTTTCTTTGGAAAAAAATTATGCACTGCTTGATATTACTTGAAAAAAAAGTCAAATCATATTACTTTGGTGTAAACAAATTATATACAGTATATACATACATAAATACATACATACCCCTGCAGACCCTCATAACTGTTAGGTCAATAAGTTCCTTAAAATATCAGAAATGTTTACCTTTTTATTAAAAGAAAAGATACCTCACTTTTATGGTCAAGTAATTCTGTATAATTAAATGTGGTGCAACTGCTCTAATAATTGTAATATTTATAGATTAATAACTTATGATATTTGTAAAAAAAAAAAAAAAGATTTTGTAATATATATATACAGTATAGTTGCATTTTACAATAATGTTCAATTTGTTAACATAATTTAACATGAACTAACAATGAAAAATACTTCTAAAGCATTTCTTAATCTTAGTTAATGTTAATTTCAACACTTACTAATACAATAAAATCAAATAGTATATCTGTTAAGTTACATCTGTTATTTAACCTGAACTGAACCAAACTTTTTTTTTTTTTTACATTATGACTGTGTCCACTCATGGAAAAAATGGAAAATAGATATTACTTTTATCTCATGACATTTTTAGAGTCAGTACATTTCTTGAAAATTGAATAAAAGTTTTGCACAACCATATGAAATACAAAGTGTACATTTATTAGAATTTGGCACATATTCATTCTGCAGGTCCTCCAGACAAAAATCCTCAGCCTACAAGACTACTCACAACCGCTACGCCTCCTCGCTTGCACCTACCAACTGACCCTCGAAAGCATGACCGACAGGGTCGCCCTCCTCGCCCTCCGCAGAAGTCAAAACCTGCCCATCCCTGAGGAAAAAAAATTAACTTAAATGATTTTAGCAAATGGCTGCAATATAACAAAGAGTGAAAAATTTAAGGGGGTCTGAATACTTTCCGTACCCACTGTATATATACAGTATAGTTGCATTTTACAATAATGTTCAATTTGTTAACATAATTTAACATGAACTAACAATGAAAAATACTTCTAAAGCATTTCTTAATCTTAGTTAATGTTAATTTCAACACTTACTAATACAATAAAATCAAATAGTGTATCTGTTAAGTTACATCTGTTATTTAACCTGAACTGAACTGAACCAAACTTTTTTTTTTTTTACATTATGACTGTGTCCACTCATGGAAAAAATGGAAAATAGATATTACTTTTATCTCATGACATTTTTAGAGTCAGTACATTTCTTGAAAATTGAATAAAAGTTTTGCACAACCATATGAAATACAAAGTGTACATTTATTAGAATTTGGCACATATTCATTCTGCAGGTCCTCCAGACAAAAATCCTCAGCCTACAAGACTACTCACAACCGCTACGCCTCCTCGCTTGCACCTACCAACTGACCCTCGAAAGCATGACCGACAGGGTCGCCCTCCTCGCCCTCCGCAGAAGTCAAAACCTGCCCATCCCAACTCCAAACCCAACATCTGTGACGGAGGTTTCAACACTTTGGCAATCCTTCGACAGGAGCTGTTCGTCTTTAAGGTAGGAATAATGAACAGCTTCACTGAGAATTAGTCCAGCATAAATTGTGTGTTTCCTAACACCAGTACACTCTTATTAGGATCAGTGGTTCTGGAGGGTGCGAGATAATTCTGTGGTGCCTGGATACCCGATGCAAATTAGCTACTTCTGGAGAGGTATGCCTCCCAAGATCGATGCTGTCTACGAAAACAGCGAGGGGAAGTTTGTCTTCTTCAAAGGTAAGATGTTTTTCCTTCAGACGTTTAAATCTTACAGGCTAAATATAGATGTGAATATCTGAAGGAAAGTGCTCAGCTTTCAGGATCTACTGAGGGCATTTTCATACTTGGTTTGTTTGGAGTTTGTTTCAGAACTTGGCATGTTTTCTCTCTTAGTTCGGTTCATTTAGGCATATATGAACACAGCAATCGACCATAACTGGTCCGAGATCATCTGAACGAGGTGGTCTTGACCAGATTGAACACAAACTCTGGAGCAGTTCGTATGTGTTGAGAAAGCAATCCGACCCAGCGGACCAATGAACCAAGCTGTATTATCATTCATAATGGGAAAAATGGGAAATTTGTTTCGTAAAAAGCAGCAGCGTTTGATTCTGTGGGTGAGCACATTAGTTAACACAGTTGAAACAGCACCTCTTCATCGTAAACTGTTGTGTTGGTATGAATCTGGCCATCATTCCCACTCTAAATGATTTACCAGTTAGAGCGGGAATGATGGTTACATTCACAATAAACCAGTGGAGCTAACTTCTCGATGGATGATGCTATGAGGAACATAACCAGGTGTACTCTGACCAATGACAGGACAGTTTTACTCACATGTGACTTGCAAAAACACATTTTGGCATGCTTTCAAATGTTGCCTTGTGAAAGCAAACTGAACCAAGAAGCAAATGATCTACAGATCTGAAAATGTCTAAAACAGTCATAATTACAATCAATAATACCAATACTATTAATATTATTATTAGAAGAAGAACAAGCATTTTTTAAACACTAAAGGCAAACTTTTGCATTTCTTTGAATTTCTGAAGGCAACCGGTTCTGGGTGTTTAAGGATACAACCCTGCAGCCCACATATCCTCAGGACATTTCTCTTTTTGGCAATGGAATGCCCACGCAGAGCATTGAAACAGCTGTTTGGTGGGAAGATGTGGCCAAAACCTACTTCTTCAAAGGGGACAGGTCAGTTTTATAGCTTATAGCTACAGTGTACAATGGGAGCCAGTGGATACCGCCTTCACTGGACTGTTCCATAATGTCTGAGACGTTTTTTCGGTCTCTGTCTACTATTACAGATACTGGAGGTACAATGAGGATATGAGAACCATGGACCCCGGATATCCAAAACCTATTACTGTGTGGAAAGGCATCCCAGACTCTCCACAGGGAGCTTTTGTGGACAAAGAAAAGGGTGAGACCTTGAAATTATCCTAGTTGACTATGCAATGCCTTGCAAAAGACCCCAATTTGCTCATATGACAAACCTAGTTTTGAAATATAGCCATTGAGCTTTACAATACTGGAACTCAGAATTAATTATTGCCATAATTGCATTTGTATTGGTGCCATGGCCTGTTGGTTTGCACATATGCTCAGACACATTGAGCTGTGACTTTTTATGTTGGTGACGCAAGTTTGAATATGCTTGCATTTTATGCATACTATAAAATATAGTCTATTAAGTAAATTGGAAAAAGGCCCAAAATTGTTATATATATATATATATATATATATATAGTGGATGACCTGGAAGGAACTAGGGAGCATTAAAAATTCAGAATATAATGTGACATTGTGAAACCCTAAAATGAAAATTCTGTCATTATTATTTACCCACTCATGTTGTTCCAAACCTATACTACTGTTCAGAAGTTTGGGATTGTTTTTTAATATTGTTGTATTTTTTTTTTTATTATTATTATTTTTTTAAATATATATAAATTTAAACATTTTTAATTGCAAAGGGAAATTTTCTGTTTTGCATAACTACACTATATGGACAAAAATACTGGGACACACCCCTTAATTATTGATATTCCACGGTCAACTTTAAGTGTAATTATTGGAAAGCGGAAGCATTTAGGAACAGCAATAACTCAGCCATGAAGCGGATGCCCACGTAAAGTCACAGAGCGGGATCACCAAGTGCTGGGGTGCATGGTGCATAAAAGTCACCAACGCTCTGCTGATTCCATAGCTGAAGCGTTCCAAACTTCCACTGGCATTAATATCAGCACAAAAATGTTTGTCAGGAGCTTCATGAAATGAGTTTCCATGGCCGAGCAGCTCCATGCAAGCCTTACTTCACCAAATACAATGGGAAGCATTGTACAGAGTGGTGTAAAGCACACCAGCACTGGACTCTGGAGCAGTGGAAACTTCTGTTCTGTGGAGGGACGAATCACGCTTCTCTGTTTGGCAGCCTGATGGGCGAGTCTGGGTTTGGAGAATGCCAGGAGAAAGTTATTATACCTACTGTAAAGTTTGGTGGAGGGGGGATAATGGTATGGGCCTGTCAGGGGTTGGGCTAGGCCCCTTACTTTCAGTGAAAGGAATTCTTAATGCATTGGCATACCAAGACATTTTGGACAGTTCTATGCTTCCAACTTTGTGGGAACAGTTTGGGGAAGGCCCTTTTCTATTCCAGCATGACTGTGCCCCAGTGCACAAAGCAAGGTACATAAAAACATGGCTGGATGAGTTATATGTTGAAGAACTTGACTGGCCCACATGGAGCCATGACCTCAACCCCATCAAACACCTTTGGGATAATCTGGAACACATATTGCGAGACAGGCCGTCCAACATTTGTGTCTGAGCTCACAAGTGTTCTACTGGACAAATTGGCAAATATTCTCACAGAACCACTCCAAAATCTAGTGGAAAGCCTTCCTAGAAGAGTGGAAACAGTTATAGCTTCAAAGGGAGGGCCAACTTTATATTCTATAGTCTATGTATTTAGAATGCAAAGTCATTAAAATCCCTAGTCATATTTCCAATTACTTTTATCCACATAAGTGTATACGGTTACACTTTACTTGAAGTAGTGTGCATAAGACTGACATGACACCTTCATAATCATGACATGACACATGTCATGAATATGAAGGAGGTTTTATGCATGTTTATGACAACTGTCATTAAGTGTCATTCGCTCAGTTATGTCA